TGAAAATTACTTTGATTCAAAAATTATATACACCGAAAACGACAATATTTATTCGGCAAAGTTTTCAAATTGCCACTTTTTTAATTTTAAAGATACTATTGGTTTTATCTATACAACAAACTCGCAGATTGAAATCAGTGGCACCGTTTTTGAAGATATTAGCACTAAAAACTCAAAGTTCCCCCTTTATTTCCTGTTCTCTTCGAGTCTTTTAATAACGGATACAACCTTTAGAAACAATCAATTTCAATCGTTGGCTTACTCCAACACCTACTCTTTTCAATTAAAGAAAGTTAGTTTTTTAAACAACTCCTTTTCAGATTCGATTCTCTTCCTCCCACCAAAAACATCGCAGTCTATTATACCCAGTTTAATCAGTGGCTGTACTTTTAATGCAAATTCTTTTATCAACAACAATGAAACTAATTTAAAAAACCTTTTTTTATATGTCAGCGAAAAATATGACCCATTTTTTAATGTAATATTCGAAAACCTTTCATTTTCAAACAACACCATAAAATACTTTGGCTTTTTCCAATCATACTCTACTTTTAATATGTATAAACTAAAAAATACTACAATTCCCATAGGTTTTTCAAGAGGTTTTTATCTAACCACCAGCACATTTGAAATACTAGATGAAAGTAAAATAGAACCACCAATTAAAATACAAGGTTCTTCAATTCAAATTAAAAGTAACAATGCTCTTACCCAAGAGGAGATTGATTTATATACAAAAGATTGTAATGCATGTAGTTTCTCTTTAATAACTCAAAACAGCAACAGCAGCAGTAGCAGTAGCAGTAGCAATATCAATAGTGACAATAGCACAAGTAGTAATAATAGCAAAAGTAGTGAAAGTAACAGCGATAGTAACAATTTAATAGATGATAATATAAAAAAAAAAAACCATTCAAAAAAAAACATCACTGTAATAATAATTCCAATCGCAACTGTAATTTTAGTTTCAATAATCATTGGTGCAATTTATATAGGAAAAAGAAAAGTATATAAAAAAAATAAAAACCTAATAACAACAACAAATATCGATAATAAATCCTCAATAGAATCTTTGGAATCTAATGAAAGTACCACTGATATAAATACCAGCAAACCCACACTCAATACAATTACTTCAGTTTCTATATTTGATAAATATAACGATCACCCCGAACTGGATTTACATTTTTAAAATATTTTATTTTTGTACAATAAAAACCAAAATATACAAATCAAATTATTTGTGTATAATAACCCATATAAAAGAAAAAATAATAATTGTAATAAATTATTTAAAAGATGATACAATTTAGATTTAAATTTTTATTTACTATTTATTTTTACCTTTTTGTAATTTAATTTAATTTAAAGATGCAAAATAGATCTATTCATCTTAATAAAAATATAAATTGAAATTTTAATTTGTAAAAGAAAAAAATTAAAAACTATAAATTATTTTTTATAATGAATACTTTATAATATATTTGAAAAACTTTTCTTTATTTTTTATAAAAATCTATATTTCTTCATAAACATATAAAGTATATTTATAATAAAAATAATTGATTGTAAAAATGATTGTGTGTTTGAAGCTTAAAATTAATTAATATTGGGAATGATAAAACAAATCCAAACTTTTATAGCTTTTTTCATTGATTCTAATTGATTCATTTTGAATAAAAGCTACAAACTCACTCTGAAAAAAACAAAACTAAAGTTAGTAATTTTATTAAATGATGAAAAAAAAAATTTTATTTACTATATTTTACAAACCTCTTCAAAGTGATTAAAGTTCTTTTCTAAACTATACATTAGAGTTACTGATTCTTCACACAATTTAAATTTATTATCAAATGAAAATGAGATGGTAATATTGAATAATAAAACCAAAAAAATAAGTGAAGATTTAAATGCTGATGTATTCATTTTAGTTTACTTGTTTAAATATTAGAAAAAGAAAAATATTTAAAAATTCCATAAAAATATTATAATTATAAAAAGAAACAAGAAATGAAAGAAATTGTATTTTTATAGTTTTTATTTTTTATTTTAAAAAATAAAATAAAAAATAAAAATATAAAATAAAAAACTATTTTTTTATTTTTTAATGAATAAAATCTGTTAGAAAATATTAAAACTAATATTAAATTTTAAAAGAAAAATAAATTTTCAATTGATACCATTTATTGTACAACATAAGATATTCTCTATAAGTAATTTACTTAAAAAAAATATAGAGAATAAAAAAAAAATTGGGGTGGGGTGTTTGTATTTATTAGTGATTGGTATAAATCTATAATAAACATTTTAAAATCATAATAAAAATACTTTAACTTTAATTTTATATATCTAACTTATAAACACCTCATAAATAAATAAAAATATAAAAAATAACTAAAAAAGTAAAAACTTTTAATATTTTTATTAATATAATAATGTGTGTTTTAATTTGTGTTTTTTTTGTTCAGTATATAACTCTCACCCACTATTTTGTTTAATAAATAATTTTAAAAAAACGAATATAAATTATACTAAGTTTAAACTCACATTTTATTTTGTTTTTACTATTTCATAATAAATACAATTCCCACTCAATATACAAAAAAATCTTATACCAGTTATCAATCATATCAATCATATCAATCATATCAATCATATCAATCATTTTTTTTTACTTGCATTTTTTTATATTATAATTTTATCTTATAATTAATTATGATGAATTAATGTGTATCTCCAATATATAAAAAGAAAAAATAAAAAAATAATAAATAATAGCTTTATCTATATTTTTTAAAATTATTATTTATAGTTATATTAAATGTTAATTGTTTTTATTCATTAAATGGGTACGTTTATATTATATATTATTAAAAAAATTAAAAAAACACTATTTGAAAAAAATTAAAAATTATTATGAAAAAAAAAAATATAAAGATTTTTAAAGGAATCATCATTTATATTGTTTTGTAAATTATAGTGTATAGAAGCATTAGAATTGAATAAATCAAAATTAATTATTAAGAAAGTAAATATTTTTTTTTTGCTGAGTGAAAAATTAAAGATTACAAATGATGTATTAGTGATGTAAAACGATTAACACTTAATATTAGAAATGATATTTTATTTAAAAGGTCAACTTAAATCATTTATTTTAAAGAACTGATGTCATTTAAAACAACACTATACATTTTTTAAAAACCCCACAACACTATATCTAATCCTTAATTTGAAACGAATTTTACAAAACAGCTTATTTAAAATAATGAGTGTTATAAAACGAAATTTAATTTACAGTAATTTTATTTTAGTTGATTTTTATTATTTGATTTTATTTTTATTTTATTATTTTATAATATTTTATATTATTTTATATTATTTTATATTATTTTATTTTATTTTTTTATTTTATTTTTATTGTTTTTAATTTAAATTTATTAAGCTTCCATTTGTGATGGTACAACTGATGATACTTTAAATATCATAATATCTTTATCCAATTTGATTTTTGTGGGATGGGGTACTAATTTGTTTAAAAGGTTAAGTTTTTCATTATTGACACAAACCCAGTCATCCAAGTATATTCCACCTGTGTCACCTGAATTTGGGTTAAGGCACCAAAAGAAGTTATCTGTACATTTCTTTTCTATTAAATAATCTACAAAAGCGTCCATCCAAATTTTATCCATATTGTCGATATATTTACCGCCCCATTCACCAACTACAACCGCTCTGCCTGTATTGGTTGGTAATAAACCAAAGTTTAGATCCCAGTGAGGGAAGAGATTATGAGGGAAATCTCTATCACGGAAATGACTGTGATTGACTACTGATGGACCGTAACAGTGTGGGCTATATACAAATTTATCATTTAATGGTAATGATACGGATGATGTTTGACTTGTACTTTCACAATCGAAGGATTCACCCCAACAGCATGCCATGTTATTTTGAGATTGTACTGGAATACCTTGACCAAATATTAACCATTGATTACCACCATTGTTTTGAATATATGATCCTATTCTATTAATAGCTTTATCCCAATCGGTTTTTTCATTTGATGTGTCCCATGTAGCGCTAAATGGTTCATTTTTTAAATCTACTCCCAATACATTCCAAACTCTACCATATCTTAATATTAAAATGTTCCACATTTTCATAACGTCGTTTTCATTATATTTATTATTATACCATAATCCGTCATGTAGTCTATCATTTGGTCCAAATGAATGAAGATCCAATAATATTAACATTCCTCTTTCACCTGCTGCCTCGATGATCATATCTAATACAGATAATGCTCTTAATCCATAAAATTCTTTATTTATTTGAGGTGTAATAGTAATTGATGTTGGGAATGGATCCTTCATGATCATTTCTAAAGAGAAAGGTATCTAAATTATAAACCATTATTAGTTAAACCGCTATTTTTAAATACCATTTAATTAGTCAATGTTTTTTACTTACTCTTATTGCATTAAATCTATGCTCTTTTAGGAAATCCAAATATTGTTTGTAATCTCTAGCCCATAAACCATGTACAGTAAATGTTTCAGTTTCGCAACCAAACCAATTAATACCCTTTAATCTTAATGGCAAATCATTAATAAATAAACCACCATCCCTTGAAGAGAAATATAATCTTTGGTATTCAGATTTATTCATTCTTAACTTGTGTGAAGATCTTCTTAATAAATTACTACTTGATTTTAAAGGTGAATAGGGGTTGTTTTTTGGAGATTGTGAATATATGGATTGACTATGTGAAAGATTGTTATGACCAGATTGATTTATTGAACTATTTTTTAAAGTATTAGGAGATGAAACAATATTACCGTTTGGTAAAATAGTGCTGTTTCTAAGTGAACTAGAAGTACTTTGATTTAATTTCGAACCAGTTGTTGTTGAATATCCCTTTGGTACCTGTGGTAATGGTTGTGGAGGTTGAGACTTTTGCTGTGGTTGTAATTGCTGGGACTGGTGAAGTGGAATAAATGCTTGTTGTAAAGGAATGGGTTGTTGCTGCTGCAATGTCTGTGGATGTGATTGGAGTTGTAATGGGGGCGGAACTGATGTCCTTGTACTTTTATATCTGTCTCTTTGTAATTTTTTATATTCAGATATTTGATCCTCAAACGAAGGGGATTGACAATTCTGATCCTGTTCTTCTTGGGTTGGTGTTATTTTATTTGATTTTATAGGTGATGTATTAACAGTGTTGTATTTAGCATCAGAATGTTTTTCTAATGATACTGGGCTTAATGTATTATGTTGTGGTTTTGATGAAGTAGTTGTAGTAGTTGTTGTAGTTGTTGTTGATGTAGAAGACGATGACAATGAAGGGTCTATTTGATTGGTTGAATTATTTGGTAAAATATGTGTATTATAAATATAATTATAGTTATTTATAGTTTTATTGCTATCATAATTCTTTTGTTGTTTTTTTCTAGTTTTTTTTAATTCCTTTTTTTCTGATGAAAAAAGATTTTTAAATTTTTTTATAAATGACATAAAGATTATTTTATTAATTTAATATAAATAAAAATATTATATATGATTTTTTTAAATGTTTATTTTAAAAAATTAAATAAATAAAATAATAAAAATTAATAAAAAACAATAATAATAAAATAAAATAAAAAAATAAAAAAAGAAAAAAGGAAAAAGGAAAAAAACAAATTATTTATTTTATCATATATAAAAATAAATATATTATTTTAATTTTTTTTTTTGAAAAAATAAATAAATGCATATATATATATATAATTAACTATTTATTTATATTTTGGTAGGGGTTAGTAATATGGGGATGGTGGGATTTTTGAGTGTGTAAATGTGTGGTGTGGTAGTGAGTGGGTAAAATTATAATAAAATATATTTTTTATATTTATGTGTGAAAATAATATTATAAATCTATCCTTGTTTATGTGTGATGTTTATGATATTTTGATTTTGATATAATATATATAAAAATAAAAAATGATGATAAATTTTCTTTTTTCTTTTTTTTTTTGTTTTTTTTTTTTTAAATAATATCTGATGAATAATTTTAAATAAAATATACAAATGATTACTAAAATTAATTGAACAATTATAGAAAAGAACAAAAAAAAAAAATCCAACTTCATTATATTCTAACAAATAAACAATATAATAAAATAAACGATAAAAAATAACAATAATAATACCATTTGTTTATTTATTGTTTTTATTTAAAAAAGTATAATAAATAATAAATAAAATAAAAGTAAACAATTAAAAAAAAAAAAAAAGAATATTTGTATTAATGTTGTTAAAGTTTTTTTAAAAAAAAAAATTTTTTTTTTTTTTTTTTTTTTTTTTTTTTTTAAAAAAAGTTGAAAATATTTTATTAAATTAGTGTCTATATGTTTTGTTTTATAGATACTTTAAATTTTTGTGAATAAGTGTTTTTAAAATGTATATAATTATTACCAATAGCTAAGAGTGGTGTATGTATGTGTATAAGAGTTGAGGTTTTTATATTATATTGGGGGTAAGGATGTAAAGTTAATTGATGGTGATGATGTTATTGATGCTATTATTGTTATTGTATTATTATTAGTTGTTATAATTAAAGTGTTTCTACAGAAATTGATTTATTTCTTTTTTGGTTTTTGAGTTTGTTTTTGGTTTGGTTTTTCTTCACTAAGACCAAATTCAGCCATAAGTTTTTCGGCTTCAATTTCTTCTTTTGTTTTCTTCTTTTGTTTTGGGGCTTGTTTTTTAGTCTTCTTTGAAGAATCTTCTGAAGCATCACCTTCAGTAGTGGCAACTGTTTCTTGTTCTTTTTCTTCTTCTTCTTCTTCGACCTTATCTTCATAATGATGTTCTTCGTTGTCAACTTTGTTATCGTCTCTAAAAAATTTAAATATTTATGTTAGATTAAAATCAGAGAATATAATAAAGTTATCATGAAAAAAATACTTACTTTTTTAATGGGTTGTTCTTTTGGTTTTTGCCATTTGAACTTTTTTCTTCATTTTTATCGGCCCATCTCATACTTGGGATATCTAAATTAGATTATTAAAATAAAAAAATAAAAATTAATATTTATTTAATAATATGATTTATTTAATAATGATGATGATACATACTAATTTGTTCTTGTTTGGCTTCTTTAGCTTCAACAGTTGGAACTGATTCCCTATTATTATAAAAATTATAAATATATTAATAAAACCAATAATAAATTTACAAAGAAATAAAAAAATGATTTTAATGAAACCCTCGGCAAATCTGAAAAATCTAAAAAAAAAAATAAAAAATAAAAAAAATAAAAAATACTGTTTCTTTTTACATACTTTGATTTATTTAATTGTGAAAGATCGACAACTTTCTTAGTTTCAACTGGTGCAACAGTTGTGGTGGCAGTTGATGGTGTAGTTGAAGCTGATGGAGTAGCTGGTTTAGTTGCTTTGACAGCTGGTTTTTTAACAATCTTTTTAGTGCTATCTTTTTTGGCAAAAAAATCGTTTAAATCGTCACTCATTTTGTTTTATATTTTTGTTGTTTTGATTATTAAATTAAATAGTTATAAACTTGTTTATTTGATGCACCTGTGTGTTTTAACTTTTAAAAATGAAAAAAAAAATTAAAAATAAAAAATTTAAAAAAAATGAAAAAAAAAAAAAAATTTTAAAAAAAAAATGAAAAATATTTTTTTTTGAATTTAAAAAAAAAAAAAAAAAAAAAAAGATAAAAAAAAAAAGATAAACCATATGGTTGGGTTAACCAAATTTGGTTTTATTTTTAGAATTTAATAAAAAATTTTATTAAGTTTATAAATATAATAATGATCTATTTTTTAAGGGTAAAATTGTTGATGTTGAATTTTTGATTTGTTTGACTATGTAAGGTTGATGTACAGTTGAGATGAGTATTTACTTTTTGTTATTGTTATTATTGTTATTATTGTTGTTGTTATTGTTATTGTTATTGTTGGTTGGTACAGAAAAGCCAATTATATCATCTTCATCATCTAAGTCATCTTCAAAATCTAAAAAAGGAAAAAAAAAATGTAAGTTTAAAATTATGAAATTATAAAACCATCACGACCATTTGCGATTGTGATTGTATTGTTTGCCTGCTTTAAGATGTGTATTGATGGTTTCATCACTACACTGCTTGCTATTTATATGGTCCTATTTAAATAAAACATACCATTAAAAAAATCTGTGTGGACTAAAGTTTTACCATGATCACCTAAATTTTCCATTAAGTTCTCCTCATCGATCATATCATCGAAATCGAAATCTTCTCTACGGAAATTATTCATTCTTTTATTTTATTCTTTTTTTATTATTAAAAATACAAAAGGAAAAATATATCTTTTTTAATCTTTTTTTCAAATTTTATAAATTAAAAAAAAAAAAAAAAATTAAAAAAAAAAATATTTTAAATTTAAAAAAAAAATTTTAAAAAAAAAAATAAAAAATTAAGAAAAAGTTTTTTTTTAATTTTGTTTTAAATTGTTTTAATTTTACTTTCAAGTAACATGTCATTGGTCTCTCAATACGACACCGATAGCAGCGACGAAGAGGAACAAAGCACCACCACCACCACCAATAACAATTATAATATAGCAGCACCACCCCCAACAGCCACAATAAAAAATGAACCGAGAACTGTCACTTTAGGAGGATTAAATAGTAAATTAGGGCAAAAGAAACCCAATGGTTCTAATGGTAGTGGTGCAGACAATCTTCAAAATAAAGATAAATTAAGTATCAATTTTAACTTTTTCAAAGACCAAGATGAAAATGAAAAAGATAGCGATAATGACGATTCATTTCGTAACCCAGATTTAAAAAATAAGCCAACCTCATCATCACATTCATTATTTTCCATGCTCCCAGAACCAAAAACCAAATCTACTGAACCACCAAAACCAAATCCACCATCTAGCTCATCATTATTTTCAATGCTTCCAAAACCAAAATCAAATAGTTCAAACTCAGCACCATCATTAAATAATGATAATGAAAGTAATAATAACTCTGAAACCTTTGTAAATAATTCCGAAAAAGATGACAATGAAATAAAACAACAAAGTGAAACTAAAGATGAAAATATTAAAACCGATGAAAATAGGAAATTAATTAATAACTCAATGATACCAGGCTCATTGAGAAAGAAACTATTAAAAAATCAACCAAAATCAAAAACTCCTGCCAAATCCCCCAATAAACCTAATAACACAATAACAACTATTGCTGCAATTACAACTACTACTACAACCACAACTACATCCAACGATAATAATAGTAATAATATAATAAATAAAGTTCAACAATTAAATGAAGAAGCCGCTGAAGAAGATGATGGATTATTCTTTTCCTTTCAACCAACTAATAAAAAACAAGAGACTACAAATATAAATAACTCACAACAAGAAGAGGAAATCGACTATTCTGAATATATAAATAATGAGGATGAAGACGATAATAATGATAATAATAACCAAAATGATAGCGAAACAGAAGAACAGTATCCTCAACAACAACAATGGACACAAGAGCAAATTGAAGAGTATTGGAAAGTATATAATGCGCAGCAACAGCAACAAGAACAACAACAACCACAATTTGATATCAATAATCAACATCAATACAATAAATATTATGAATTTCATAATGCAGATAAAATTATCGAAGTCAATCAATCAAATATTTCAGCAGATAATAACACAAACGAAAAACTTTTGGAAATTAGGAAGAGAACACTAGAACAAGAGAAATCCAAATCAGGCGGTCCAAGAGTATCAAAACAACAAAAATATAAACATCAAATTACCTCACTTCTTGGCCACTATCAAGAAAGAAAGCAAATGGCAAACGACAACAGAGCCCAAAATATTTTAAAGAAATAGTAATATAATTAAAAGAAAAGATAAAACAAAAAAAAAAAAAAAAAAATAAATAGATATCTCTATTTATCACATGTATATAATAAACACTAAACAATCAATTAATTTATTCATTAATCTTTAATTAAATTAATTATTTTTTTCGTTTATATTAATTATTAATTAATTATTTGAAACCAAATCACGATTGGGACAAAATTAAAAAAAAAAAAAAAAAGTCGACATTTTAAACCAAATCCAATATGTATTGCGGTCTTGCCCACACCCCAATCAGTTTGAAAATCGTATTTAGAAAACGCCAAAAAAAAAAACGAATTTTTTTTTTTTATTTTTCTTTTTTTTTTTTTAAAAAAAAATATTTTTTTCAAGTTTTTTTTTTTTTTTTTTTTAAATTATTTTTTTATTTTTTTTTAGAATTTTTTTTTTTAAATTATTGTCATTTAATAAATATCATTTATACATAACACCAAGACAGAATAATCATTATACAGTTTTATAATAATTTCTTTTTTTATATATTAAGGGTATGCCTCAGTTATATATACGAGTATATAACAATTTTTTTTTATAATTAAACAGTTTAATAATAATTCATTTATTTGTTTCTTTTTTCTTTTTTTTTTTTTTTGTTTTTTGTTTCATTTTATTTTTTTTTTTTGTTTTTTAAAAAAAAATTGTAAAAAAAATTTTGTAAAAAAAAAAAGACGAGAATTTTTAATACAATGTGGATATTCAGATTTAAGAATTTGGTTTTAAAAACAATAGAAAAAATATTTGATATATTACTTTACAGTTTTTTAGTTTTTTTTTATTCTCCAACAAACGAATAAATAAATAAACGATCAAACAGCAAATATAGTTATAGCATAAACAACAACACCAACAACACAGTTTCATATTCTTTTTATTATTTCATTTAAAAATTAATACTCAATCCTTATAATAAAATATAAATTTGTAAAATAATAATAGATATCTAATATCG